GATCCCAGCCAGCTAAAACAGCACTGGCAACTGCAACAAAAAATAGCCAGGCGTTGTGGTAGGCACCTGTAGTTCCAGCTACTGGGGAGGCTGAGGCAAGAGAATCGCTTAAGTCCAAGAGTTGGAGGTTGCTGTGAGCTGTGATGCCAAGCACTCTACCAAGGGCGACAAAAAGAGACTCTGTCTCAAAAAAAAAAAAAAAGAAAAGAAAAAACCTTGGCAACAAGAAGGATGTGCACAAAAATGAGCTCTTGCATCATGACAATATGCCAGTTCACCCTGCACATCGGAAAGGGGAGTTTTTAGCCAGTAAACAAATAACACTATTGGAGCCATTCCCTACTTACCTGATTTGGCCCCCAGTGGCTTTTTCCTTTACCCAAAGACAAAGGAAATACTGAAAGGAAGACATTTTGATGACATTCAGGACATCAAGGTAATATAATGACAGCTCTGATAGCCATTCCAGAAAAAAGTTCCAAAATTGCTTTGAAGACTAGACTAAGTGCTGGCATCAGTACAGAGCTTCCCAAAGGGAGTGCTTGCAAGGTAACCGTAGTGATATGCAGCAGTGAGGTATGTAGCACTTTTTCTGGGATGAGTTCACAAACTTAATTGTCAGACTTCATATGTTTCACCTTTCTTTCCTAGTCTTAGATTTGGGTAAGGCTATCTCAGTAAGTTTTGGTTTAAGACCAGAATGTCTACATTGTAATTTAGAAAAGCTAATTATTTCTGAGACATTAACGGTTAAAAATTTCTGAGATTTATAAATAGTGCCTAGACATGCTGGATCAAAATCATGTATTAACAATGGGCTTTTTTTCTGATTCAGAAGGTGGTCTGAGTTTTTCATGCTGATCTTGGCAATGATGTGGTATCATTTAGAGCTGAAAGGGACTGTAGAGATTCTCTGTTTGAAAGACAAGACTCCTTGTTTGAAAGAAGAGAAAACTGGGGCCCAGAGAGGTTGGGTGACTTGCCTTGTCCCTTAACCAACACCTGGTGACAGAGCCGGGCCTCACCTTGGACCCCTGGTGTGCAGCCTCGGACTCTGTTCCTGGAACCATGCCATTCCTACCCTTGGGTCTCTTTTGATATCTCAGTCTTCTATTAATTTAGATGTATGATTATTTCATTTTTCTAAATCTGATAGTATTCTAATTCATTAGACCTACATTTTCATTTATTAAAAGAGGATGATCCTTTACTGGTACCAGGAGTAACCCAGAGCCTGGGCCTGGATCACTGATCATTTTCTTTTAGATCATTTGTAATTCTTGGCTTATCATTTCCTTGTTTGTAAAATAACAATAGACCCCCGAGAACAAAAGTTCTTTTTTTTTTTTTTGAGACGGAGCCTCAAGCTATCCCACTGGGTAGAGTGCCATGGCCTCACAGCTCACAGCAACCTCCAACTCCTGGGCCCAAGCGAGTCTCCTGCCTCAGCCTCCCAAGTAGCTGGGACTACAGGCGCCCGCCACAGTGCCGGCCATTTTTTGGTTGCAGCCATCATTGTTGTTTGGCGGGCCCGGGCTGGGGATTCGAACCCGCCACCTTAGATGTATGTGGCTGGCGCCGATTGAGCCACAGGCGCAGAGCCGAGAACAAAAGTTCTACTGGTACTTTAGTCCCATCTGAAATATAACTAAGCTCTCTTCTCTGCTTGAAGATGAGGAATACACGTGGGTGCTGACCCCAGAGAGCCTGCAGTATGGGCCTGGCACCTACTATATAACAGCACTGCAAGGAAGCCAGGACAGCGCTCAGCAGACACCCACCAGGGTCTCAGTCGTCACTGCCCTCACTCAGTGTTACTTCTGGGACAGCTCCAACAGGATGTGGAGGAGCAGTGGATGCCAAGTAAGAAACCGAGCCCCATCTCGGGCCTCTCTTCTGCCATGGCTGCCCATTAAACATGGTGCATCTGTTATCACAGCCCAGAAAGAAAAATAGTCAGCAGGGAAATAAATCAGCCTGGAAACAAAGAGGAGGCTTGTGTGTGGTGGGCTGGGAAAGAGTGTTTGGAGCAGGACCAGGCTCGTGCTTTATCTTAGTAATTTCTTTTTCACATAGATTCCAGGGTGAATCTGACCATTGTAGATAAAATAAGGGAAGCAGTATCTGGGAGCTGCAGCAGTCTGCAAGTATTAAATATGTTGTGGGTAAATGAAATAAACTTCCTGCTAAACAAAAGGGAATTTTTATAGCTGGAAAAAAAAGTTGTTTGGAGATTGTTGTACATTCCTGGTCAGACGGGGACAGATTGTCACTTTGGTAATTATCAGCTTGTTCTTGGTGTCTGACCACTTGAAAACATATTCTTCAAACCTCCTGCCTGATTGATGTCTTGGTTCAGTAACACAAAGACTGTGGTGCAAGGTCCTAGAACTCAGGAAACTGTTCTTAAGACATCTGAGATGGCATCTAGATGGGGAAGAAACGGAAAGAGTGTTCTCTGCATCTGCACCATTCATAGCCTCAAGCAATGATTTCCAGGGTTTTTTGTTTGTTTGTTTGTTCTGTTTTTGAAATGAGTCTTGGCTCAGCGCCTGTGGCTCAAGCGGCTAAGGCGCCAGCCACATACACCTAAGGTGGCGGGTTCGAATCCCCAGTCCGGGCCCGCCAAACAACAATGATGGCTGCAACCAAAAAATGGCCGGGCGTTGTGGCGGGTGCCTGTGGTCCCAGCTACTTGGGAGGCTGAGGCAGGAGACTTGCTTGAGCCCAGGAGTTGGAGGTTGCTGTGAGCTGTGATGCCATGGCACTCTACCCAGGGGGGATAGCTTGAGGCTCTGTCTAAAAAAAAAAAAAAAAAAAAAGAAATGAGTCTTTACTCTGTTGCCTGGCCATGGCATCAGCCTGCCTCACAGCAGCCTCAAACTCCTGCACTGGAGTGATCCTCCTGCCTCAGCCTCCTGAGTAGATGGAATTACAGGCGCCCTTCATGACACCTGGCTGATTTCTTTTCTATTTTTAGTAGAAACAGGATCTCTTGCTCAAGCTGGCCTCAAACTCCTGAGTTCAAGGAATCCTCCCACCTCGGCCTCTCAGAGTGTTAGGATTATAGGCATGAGCCACCACACCTGGCCTGTGATTTCTGGATATTTTTAAAGCAAATCCTCAAATTGGGAACTTCTTAAAATGCAGGCTCTAGGCCTGATATTGGTAGCCCACTCCTATAATCCCAGCACTCTGGGAGGCCAAGGTGGGAGGATCCCTTGAGCACAGGAGTTCAAGACCAGCCTGAGCGAGAGCTAGATCCCATCTCTACTAAAGACAGAAAAACTAGCGGGTGTTGTGGCAGGCACCTGTAAGTCCCACCTATATAAGGAGGCTGAGGTAGGAGGATCCCTTAAACTCAGGAGTTTGAGTTTGCCATGAGCTACACTGACACCACGGTACTCTAGCTTGGGCAACAGAGTAAGACTCTGTTTCAAAAATAAATAAATAAATAAATATAACAGCTTCTATGTGGTAAATTTGGGGCTAGGCCTGAGCTTCTGCCCTTATCACGAGCTCCTGGGTGAGGCCAGTGAGACCACACTCTGAGTGGCGAAGCTTGAGAGCTTCTGCCCTCTCACCACACAGACCCATTTCCCACCTCCTTGAAGCTCTTTGTAGTGCTTGGAGCTATGAAAGGAGCAGAGCTGCCAAGTGCAGCCTGAGAGTTCTTCTGAGGGCAGAGTGTAGAGGTGGGGCATCCAGAACTTCACCTACCCCATGGAAGGGGGTTGGAGATAATGACAATATTTTAGGCTTTTCATCCACAAAACCAAACACATAGAATTGGTGGCTTCCACTTACTCACCTACCGGTACATTTTTGAAAAATATTTATCATGATAGCTGGGCATTGTGGCCGACGCCTGTAGTCCCAGCTACTTGGGAGGCTGAGGCAAGAGTATCTCTTGAGACTCAGCGCCTGTGGTTCAGGTGGCTAAAGCGCCAGCCACATACACCTAAGGTGATGGGTTCAAATCCAACCTGGGCCCGCCAAACAATGACGGCTGCAACCAAAAAAAAAAAAAATAGCCGGGCGTTGTGGTGGGTGCCTGTGTTCCCAGCTACTTGGGAGGCAGAGGCAGGAGACTCACTTGAGCCCAGGAGTTGGAGGTTGCTGTGAGCTGTGATGCCACAGCACTCTACCCAGGGGGACAGCTTGAGGCTCTGTCTCTGAAAAAAAAAAAAAAAAAGAGAGAGAATTGCTTAAGCCCAAGAGTTTGAGGTTGCCATGAGCTATGATGCCATGGCACTGTACTGAGGGTGACAAAGTGAGACTCTCTCAAAAGAAAAATTTATCATGAGGAAATCGTACAACATATGGAATGTTATAGAAATTGATAAACATTAAATGCACACTCAGCTTCATCAGAGTTAGTATTTTGCTCCATTTAGTGCCGATTTTGTCTAAATAAAACACTCTGGAGAAACCGAAGCTGTCGGTGTATCCCTCTCTTGTCTCATGCCCTCCCTTCCTCCAGAGGGTAACCACTGTCCTGACTCTGGTGGGGTTCGTGTTCATTCTGTCAGCAGATTCTTATTGAATATCTGTCACCACGTGTGCATAAGTCTAGGACCTGGAGATACGGCAAGGAACAAGACAGTGCCCTCTTGCGCTTGCATTCTAGAGAGAAACTGAAAATGAACAGTTTTACAGGCTCTTGGGCTTCGTGTGCGGGGTACCACCCTGTGCATATGCCCCTTCTGTTCACTCAGCAGTTGCCCATGCTGATACAGCTACCTGTCATTCATTTCTGGCTGTCGTATTCTATTGCATTCATCTGAGTCTACTTATGGAGGGATGCACTTGTTCCGTACTTAACGTACTTGCTAACTTGTGTGTTCTGTTATTGGGCATACTGGTTGTTTTTATTTCTGATAGTCACAAACAGGGCTGACAAACAGGGCTGACAAACCCTGTGACATAGTCACAAACAGGGCTGACAAACCGTTCCTTTCCACACGTCTTTGTGCACACGTGCAGAGTTCCCCTGGGCTATGTATTAATACACGTAGAATTGGAATTGCAGGCCCAGAGTCTTTGCAGGTCTTCAGCCTTCCCAGATGTTGCCAAATTGCTCCCTCCTCAGTTATACCTATTTACGCTGCCACCAGCAGTGAATGAGCAACACCCGTGTCCTTTTCCTTCTCTTAATTGCGTGTGTTTTCTGTTTTAGCTTTGTCCCTTCCTTAGCCCTCTGACTAGAATCAACGTCTTGATTCTAATTCCAGGTTGGCCTGCAGAGCACAGTTTCGAGAACCCAGTGTTTCTGTGACCACCTGACCTTCTTTGGTAGTGATTTCTTCATCATCCCCAGGACCGTGAATGTGGAAGACACCATCAAACTGTTCCTTCGTGTGACCAGCAATCCTGCTGGGGTGTCCTTGCTGGCCAGCCTTTTAGGATTCTATATGATCACAGCTGTGTGGGCTTGGAGACAGGATCGTGCAGATATGCAGAAGGTGAAGAGACTTTGATTCCAAAAGCTTTGTCATAATGTCTTGAGTATATTAAATTAGACTAGGGCAAACCTTAGTCAAAACAAGCGGTTATCATGATACTAGGTAGCCTGGAAATTCAAGTGAGACTTTTATTTATATCAGACTAAAATGAGGATACAAATGACTAGGTTACGTGTTTGAGTTTGTTAGGTAAAGTTCAAGTAATAGTTGAGCCCGTCACCCAGAGGGTGTGCTTATACCCTTACTTAGTGCTTTTTAGGTGAGAGCTTACCAAGCTCCCTCCCTCCTTCCCTTTTTTTCTCCCCGCTCCTCCCTAGTTGAATTTAATTTTGTCTTTCTCTCATGTGGGGGTGTAGTTGTTTATCTATTGGTTTCACATTAGTATTACAGGCATTAGATATTTTTCTTTTTATTTTTAGACAGAGATTTGCTTTGTCACCCTCGGTAGAGTGCTATGGTGCTAAGAGCAACTTCTTGGGCTCAAGTGATCCTTCAGCTTCAGGCACCCACCACAATGCCCATTTATTTTTAGAGAGGGGAAGTCTCCCTGTTGCTCCAGCTGGTCTCTAAACTCCTGCCCTCAAGAAGTCCACTTGCCTTGGCCTCCCAGAGTGCTAGGATTACAGGCGTGAGCCATCATTCCTGGCCTTATACTTTTCCATTGTTGGGATACTTTACTAAGAAAAATTAAGTGAGACTTTTTAAAAAAAATTTACATCTACTGTCTTAGAACCTAAGAACTTAACTCTTTAATGTCTATCTTTTTTAAATCGAAGGTTGTACCCTCATGAGACTCAGAAAACACCTTGGGAATTCTAGAATATGCAAAGTATTTTTTTGTTCCCCTGGGTATAGAGTGCCAGCTTTATTTTCTTAATTTTTTTTTTCTGAGACAGAGTCTCACTATGTCACCCTCAATAGAGTGCCATGGCGTCACAGCTCACAACAACCTCCAACTCTTAGGCTTAAGCGATTCTCTTGCCTTAGCCTCCCAAGTAGCTGGGATTACAGGCACCTGCCACAACACCTGACTATTTTTGCTGTTGTTGTTGTTGTAGTTGTCATTGTTGCTTAGCTGGCCCGGGCCTCTTTCGAAACCACCAGCCTGGGTGTATGTGGCCAGTGCCGCAACCACTGTGCTACGGGCGCTGAACCAGACTTGCCAGCTTTAGTAAATTAAAGTACAGGATACCTAGTTAAATTTACATTTTAAATAAATAGTGAATGCAGTTTTAAACATGCTGCAAATTAGTCACTGTTTGTCTGAAATTCAAGTTTAACTGGGTATCTTACGTATTAGCTGGCAGTCCTACTTGAGAGGGAGGCAAGTAGGTTTAGAGGCCCAAGACTTGATCGGTCAATTCTGTGATATGAACATTTCATTTTAGAGGCATGAGCTCTGGCATTTCATCCTCCCTGTAGTCACCTTACTCAGGTCTGCTTGCTTGCTGATCATCCAACCACATCTCAGCCTTGCTGTCCGTGGGGTTGCCAGGCCTGCACAGGTGGGCATCCTCCTGTTTGCTGGGGGAAGCCGGAGACTGTGCTAAGTGGAAGCTGCTAAGTGTCTCGGTTCTGCTTTTCCTGCAGGTGAAGGTCACTGTCCTGTCTGATAACGAACCCAGCTCTCAATTTCGCTACCTGGTTCAAGTCTACACAGGGTACCGAAGAAGGGCCGCTACAACAGCTCAGGTCAGTGAGATAAATGCTCTTTGTTCATTGCTTTGTGGTCTCCTACCACATGAGACCCACTCTGACTTGGTGACACCCAGACACCTTGCAAGGAATCACAGAGATTGGTGCTTCCTGGTTCTAAGTTGTAAACGTGAAGAGCCCTCTGTGCTCGCCTGGGATTCCAAAGACTTACGTGCTGTTTTCTATGTCTTCATCTTTCTTCTTAGCAATAAACCCAAAGAATCGTGTTAAGATTTTCCTATGTGGCTCGGCACCTATGGCTCAAGTGGCTAGGGCGCCAGCCATATACACCTAAGGTGGTGGGTTCGAATCCAGCCCGGGCCTGCCAAACAACAATGACAGATGCAACCGAAAAAATAGCCGGGCATGGCTCGGCACCTGTGGCTCAAGTGGCTAAGGCGCCAGCCATA